TAGCTAACAAGGTCTGGCAAATGGACATCGAGTATCGATCCTACTAGAGAATTGAATGACTCAATCCTACTAGAGAATTGATTGGTCAATGGCTGAAGTTTTGTTGAGCGCGATTGGGACTCTATGTAGAGGATGCCACTTCCATTGCTCTGACCTTCATTTCATTATCATGAATTGTCATATTCTAATAATCGCTCTCCATTGTAAATGTATTGGAGGGGTTTTGGACCTTCTATTAAAAACATTCCAGAAAGTTATATATGAATCTATCTACGTCATTGTATGCACTGTTAATAAGTAAGAATGGACCTTGTCGAAGTATTGATAAACGTTGACATGGAAGTTGCATGGATATCCGAAGGTGTTTTGGTATTTTGAAGGTGAAGCGTAATTTTAAGGACGTGCATAAAATTAGTATAATAGAAATGATTACTTGCAAACCATACATTTAATCATATCTTACAGTATCTCGGTTTCTTCTTGTGATTCGTTAAACATTTCGCATAGATTTGGCAACCGTTGCTCGTTCTGAAATACGTTTCAAAATAATTCTTATTTTCTTATACATTTTGGAAACTATTGCTCCCAAAACGTATATTTGTACATTATTCATGTAAAGACATTCTCATGTTAGAAAATAAGCGACTGGTAACAGATTCTCTCCAAATATATTGGCAAATAAGGTAAAAGAAAAATGAAGAATATGTCTACTTACAGAACAATACTAATGTCTAACATCAATACGTAGATTCTCTATTATAACTCCAAAATCAAGGAACTGATGTTAAATTATTTGATAGTTGGTTGCCCTGGACGAGCCGCGTCACAGTCAGCTCAGAAGACGTCCACAACACAGTGGCTGAGACTTCAGCTCGACCGACTGTGCCGCGGCTCGTCCCGAACAACCAAGCACCAAATGACTCTGGTCGCGAATGTCTACGAATCCACCATGATGTTAAATCAATTATAGTGTGTTTTATTAGATTTTGTCGCCTTTTTAGAAGTTAATATTGAAATTTCTGGGCGTATCTTCAACCAAAATTTAAAACATTTTAGTAAGTACCTACTTAAAAAAACTCGTTGCAATTAGTTTAATATTTGAATTTTGATTGGTTCATTTCATTATCGCTGAAGCTAGATTCTATACTAGCTCCTTGACACGTAATAATAAAATCAAACAAATTAGGCGTGTAATTATGCAGCGAATAGTATATTCATCCAGTTGTATTTACAGTAATGATGAAAATGAGGATGATAAAAGTTGAATCAATGTACACTTTCGTATATTACCGGCCAGAAGTAGACGCAATAAAGCATAGAAATATAGACAAATGACAAAGTATCTCTCTGTTTTCGTGTTATGTCAAGAATTCAATTCATGAAAAGGAACACTACTGTTTTTGTTCTTACAAACTGTTCGTTCATTGAGTGATTATCTAACATTTTGTGATTATGAGGTACCCCCGTTTTGAGTGTCAATTCTTTTTAACGAAGTTTTCGAGCATTTCGGTTTAGCACTATGAGAACTTGTGTCTCATTTATAAATCTACTATATAATCCACTACAAGATACTATAAGATCTAAAAGTAAATCTACTATAAGATAAAAAAAGTATTCTCAAATTATTTAAAGAATAAAATTTAAAATTCTTAACAGATTTTGTGTTTTAAAATTGTTTTTTTTCTTTCGTGAATTTGCATTTACAGTGTACCACGCAATATGGTAAAATTTTAAATGGTACGAAATGCTTTCTGTTATTAAGTTACTTTTTTGGTTTACATATGTTTACTTTTTATCTTACAGATTCACAGTCTGCTCTACACTGTCTCGATTATTTACACAGTTTTTACGAACAAGTTACCGGCAAGGTAAATGTACAACTCCTGCTGTATACAATTGCATATTTTTGTTTTGTCTGATTTACTTTTGTCTTTTCTAAAACGACGTTTAGGGCTACCAATTTCAATATTATACGAAAGAAATTCAGATAGAAATGCGTATAACGTCGCACCAGTTTGTCGAGGATTGAAAAATATCTGAACGAAAATACAAAAGATATTTCCATTGAATTGAACTGTGTTTGACAAATAAGTTTGGAGGACATGTTTACGTGACGAAAACGTTTGGTTGAATATTCTTGAAACAGTTTTTTCCATGCATATGGATGTTGGTGAAGGTAATTTCAATGCTGAATCAAACAACTAAAAATGAAACAATATTCTTTATTTTTCGTAGTAATAGGCATTATATAATAATGTTTCACATGCAGCAACAGCAGTTCTGAAGTCATTGGTCCCTGCTTAGACTGTACAGTGGAACGGGCTGCGCGCAGTTTGCAACCAAGCAAGCCCGCCCATTCCTACATTCTCTTTTCTTTGGTAGTTAGCTGTCATGAAAGTCTCGGCGGCGACTTGGTCCCAGCTTTCCCTATACACTCTCTGTCTTTCGTCCTCTGTACAACACTCCTGCTGCAGCCAACCACAGCTCGAGCGAAGGTGGGGAAAACGAGTGTCACTTCGATATCTGTTGTTTACGAAAGATTTCAATCTTTTGAGATCTTATAATATTGGATTGAAAATTGTCATGACGAAACAAAATTAAAGATGAAAAGTATAATGTTTGATGATAAAAAATAAAACACTCTTTTTTTCCCACCCTACGCATCGATATAGAGAATAATATTCTAACGAAAGGGGTGCAAATCAAACTGTACATAGTGCATAATAATTTTTTACAGAAAGTTTTGTTTAAAAACAATTTGTACACATTTATCTTCCTTGAAGGAAGGGTTGAATAACATTGTTCAATTATATTCACAATACGTAATATTTGTCACATGTGTGTACATTGAAAACATCTTAGTATTAATCGGTCATGATACACAAGGCTTTAGAAGGAGAACATCAGTTTAAACTCCATTTCAGTATTCAGGATGTAGTGGGAAACAAGAAATTACATTACAGCTCAGTGCAGGGTAACAGATCCTGTAACTATTTTCAAGGATACATTGTCCTTGTATGTGACATCTATACTCGTTAAAAATTTTACTCACATAAATATATTTTCATATATTAAATTTACAATGACATGTTTCGCGTGTTTTAAAATATCAACAACTCTGCATTATGTTTGAACATTTAACTCAAGCAATGTGAATTCTTCAGTTATGGTTTTCTGATGAATTGTAACATGAAAAATATAACACGAACTCTTCATACTTCACTTCATTTGCACCACTATCTACTCGCCTACTTGAAGACTGTTCATGACTACAAACATATTTTCAACGACTAGAAGTCACACAATTTCCGTTTTCTTTTGTAATATTGCCATGTCACAGCGCCAATCTCATTCTCCCATCAATCAACATCCTCATTACGTTTCATTTTTGCATTCTGACGTGATTATGAGAAAATGAGAATGAGCGTGAACAAAGCAGAGAAAATAAATAACAGACTATTCGGCTCATGCAATGAAACTTACATTCTCATTGACATTAAATTGCCTTTTAAATTTTACGTAGTAACGGTTACATGACAAAGTATTTATAAAACAATGGCACTTAACGTTGCTACAATACTCAGAAAACTTATTGTATATACTACATCAGTTCATTCAATTGAAACTTGAAAATGTATGAACTGATAAACATTACATACTTTGGAACATGACAAGATTTGCATATATAAATAAACATATAATACAACGTATCATTTATTGTTCGTTGCTGTGGATACAATCGTTCCACATTTGTAGAGTGCATCTTATACACAGTCATTGGTCCCTGTTTCCATTTCGAACACAACTTATGATACACAAGTAATTGTCTTCCTCTCTACTTACACGTTTTGAACACCAATAAATAAACTATACAACTGCTACCCTTAATAAGGTTGGACGGACGACCGTATTTCTAAGAAAACAGGTAGAGTGTCACAAATTCGCAACATGCATCATTCGGTCAACACCTTACACGAAATGGCTCTCTGCAATATCCGGTCAGTGATCATATTAGCTTCCGATAAAGACGTATTCTTTTGATTGAGATATTTGTATACCAAAACTATTTTAAATATTCTTTGGTTACAGTAAAAATATATCTCCTAGGAATGAAAACTACGAAATAAAAGATGTTGTGGGATATTAAGTACTTCTTCCGTAAAGTACATGGCAATGGAAATAATAAAGGTATCACAATTTCATAATTCAATCTGGTAGAAGTAAAATGACTATATTAACAGCAAAAGATATTTCTGATAGGTTTGAAATTTAAAAAGAAAACGATGGAAAATTACTAGACCAAAGCTGGAGAAAATTGAAAGCAGTCATTTTTTCTTCGGAGTTTAAATGATACTCTATTTTAAAAGAAGCAACATCAGCCAAACTGATCACCCTATCTTACTCCAGCTAAACCAAATATTAGCCCCCAAAGGGCATCATTTAGCCGAAAAAAATTAAAGACTGCATTTTGATTTGAGAGCTGTCTCACAAATGGTGGATGATATCCAGATTGTGCTGTAACAGTTGAATGAGATATCGGTCTTTGGTAGGGCGTTTGGGACTAGGCGTTGCCTTGGTATATCGGCCTGAAGCTTTCTGCCTTGACGTCCGAGCAGGCGCTATGCAATCACGTGACGCGTGCGAGTGTGTGCGAAGACAGTGATCTTCGCTGAGGTTTGTTCTGTGGCGAATGTAGTTTCGAGATCACTGCAACGCCAGGTCTGAAGTGACCGGGAGCAGGAGGTGACAAAACTCTCGTGCTCTCATTACCGGGGGCCTGAAGCGACATTTTGTTCTGCAACTGGAGCCGACGAGGTTTTGAGATTCTCGATCTAAAGTGACAGTCCTGACGACGGGCACCCGAAGAAGGCAGGAGTAGCCATCCTCATCCGTTGGGAACGGAGTGGTTGTGTTGTGAAACTTCGAGAACGTTTGGCTCTCTCGGTTGACGTGGGTTTGAGGCGTCCTCAGAGAGCCATCTCCTTGCGTTCCGAGCTGCCTCAGGCCTCAGGCGGCCTCGGCCCCGAGGTGAGCTCCGCCCGGAATCGACCCTGGATCTCCAGCGGGCGCGGGCTGAGGCGGCCGCTGCAGGTGAGAGGGGGCGCGGGCGAGCGGGCGGACTCGCAGGGGGCCGGCGGCCAGGACGTGGGCGACACGGCGGCCGGCGAGTAGACGGTGGGTGGGCTGGAGTCTGCGCCTGGTTGCTTGGGCGAGTAGACGGCAGGTGGGCTGCAGTCCATGCTGGTGTGCTTGGGCGAGTAGACGGCGGGTGTGCTCGAGTCCGCGCCCGGGTGCTTGGGCGAGTAGACGGCAGGCGGGCTGCAGTCCATGCTGGTGTGGTTGGGCGAGTAGACGGCGGGCGCGCTGGCGCCCGCGCCCGGGGTTTTGGGCGAGTAGGGCGGCGGGGCGGCGGGGGAGGGCGAGCAGGGCACAGCCCCCGCGGACGGGTGCTGGCTGTCGCGGTGGCGCCGCAGGTCCACCTTGCGCTGGAACGCCTTGTCGCACAGCCCGCACGAGAAGGGCTTGTAGCCCGTGTGCTTGCGCATGTGCGTGATGAGGTTGGACGACTGGCTGAACGCCTTGCCGCACACGACGCACTTGTGGGGTTTCTCACCTGCAACACACAGCGAACGGAGGGATGAGCAGTTGGCCGGCATTACAGTCAAAATTAATATAAGCTTACTCTACGGTTGGAACTATGAAGTACAAAATTTCAAAACGAAGTGATCTCGACATACTTTGTGTTAATAATATCTACGCATTTGGCACATTATGCTCGAATCATGTTAAATGTAACTAAGTACAAGCCAAATATACTTATTTCACTCACATTTTTTGTTGAAAGTTTATAATAATAACCTATAAATTACATTTCTATACAAAAAATTCTTTAATGCTCTTGTGCGTTAGATGACATTGCATTTTTATATCTTTAATGTTCGTGTATTTATACATTTTTAAAATTTTTTCATTTCGAGGAATTTTGCTCCTTCGTTTCCTTTATTCGTTTGCGACCGTGCAAGTGGTCAGACCAAAACTAATTAATAAGTAAATGGATCACAAATCTCTGTCAATGTTTATTTTGTGCAATTTTATATTAATTTTTGTTCAAGTAGAATTTTTGCTTAAGCGAAAGGGGATATTTCATTGGTTTGACTTCATATAATTTGTTGTTCTGTAAGAATAAATGCTTATTCAAAGAAGGAGTAAATAAGGCAGTGAACTACAGATGTATGAATTTTTATTAAATAACTAATATATCTTCTGAAGACGTACGTAATCTCAAGCTGATCGAAATTCCACCCAAATCCATATTCCTATTCCAGTACTTGGGAAATAATCCTTTCAACCAATGACACAAAGAACCTATACAGAAGCACAACACCACGTAAAGGTAACGAGCTGACAACAACGCAACTGAAAGTTTCACGACGCCGATTCACTCGGCCCAATGCTGCAAGCCCCACTAGCGCCGCTGCCTCATCAGCGGGAGCCGTATGAATTAATCGGCGCCTGAATACTGCCCCGGCGCCATTTAAAGGCAATTATAACGTCTTCTTTGTGTCCACATCAAAGGGTTATATGGCCGTCCCTGTAATTATTGGTCATCGAGAGATTTAGGAGGTTACGATCCTGAGAGAAATCTACTCATTTCAGATGTCAAGGGGGCCGAGAAAGGCACCACAATGGGCCCGAGGAACGGTCATGTTGCTGCATAAGTTATGAGCTGTTCGTTATTAACTTATGAACTGGTTTATATATAAGACTTGCGATACTAATTAACTGTATCGGTCTGTATCAGTGACAATTTCCATGAAATTACTGCACAAATAATGAACGGAACTTGTTCCAAGAACAATTTAATTAATGGTGTTAACGAGTCATTTTGTAGATGTAATTAGAGTCCCAATAGATTGTAATATGAAGGAAATGCGGACAATATAATTGTATGACCATACGTCTCATAAAATATCAGTAAGATCAGTATTCGTTTGAGTACTTCGGTTCAGAGAAAGCATGAAGATGTTGCATAAAACAAAAAGAAAAACGTAAATGGCGCTCGTCATGCATAGACAATTGCTACAATTTCCTATCTTCGATGCCATCGACGACAATAGCTCATGTTGGACGACAAAGAATACATCGAAAAGAGAGAAACTTATAATAGCGACATTATCAAGTAACGTGTTGTCGTGTAGTGTATTATCGCGGATAAATTACTATGCACGTTGTAATTAGAACTTTTCACAAAATGGTCGATTTCCTGTAAACTGGGGCAAAAGGATGGAACACGAATTCTCTCCGCATCTTTTTTTAAACATTTTTTCTTCTTGATCTTTTAAGCAATTCAATCGGGCCATAAATAATTCGAACTATATTATGAACCCTATTATCTTGAATGTCGATTAAATTTTTACGAAATCAAATTCAACCGCAAGGAAACTACGACCTCTTGATATAAATACGTAAACGAAATTCCGAGAACTCTTGATGCATTAATATTGTTAAAAGAACAATATAGGAGACAAAGAAAAATCCTTTGATGAATAGAAAAAGTCCTGAAAAAGTATATCATTGAATGAGAGAATTCATTACAACACCATCCAATGCATAATTCATTATATATAAGAAGTGTATGGAAATGGAAGTAAATGTAAATGATATGACTAATGAATTTATGATCATATAAATAGAATTTGTTAGGATTCCTTCCTATGGATTTAAAAAATGAAGTGGCATAAACTTGTAAAACTATAACAAAGAATCACCTGAGGACAAGTGATTCACTTCCATACACATCTAAATTCTGAACTCACATAGTGGTATTCGTTATTCTCGTCACAAAAACGGAGGGAAATAATAAATTTCATTCTAAATCACGTAGCATCTTTTAAAATACGTGTTCATCGCATTACGTGCCCTTCACGACTCGAAAAGTCACTTTGACTTTAGAGTAAGGTAAGACGCCTTACTTCCTCCGCGCCCTTCCCCGACCCCGCATTGCCCCGCATTGCCCCGCATTGCCCCGCATTGCCCCGCACCTCGCCGTCGCACCACGATGCCATAGCTCAGAGCTAGCTTAGAGTGTGTTTCGGATGGGGCGGTGCCCCGCTGCGGGATATGCCCTGAAGGCAAATTCACCCCTAGCAGATGTGTATTCTCGGTTGCTCTCGCCACTCACTGTCGCCACCTCTCTCGCCACCGCTCTCGCCCCTTGGTTCGTCCCCGCTCTCATCCCCGCTCTCGTCCCCGCTCTCGTCTTCACTCTCGTCCCCGCTCTCGTCCCCGCTCTCGTCCCCGCTCTCGCCCCCGCTCGCACTCCCCGCTCTCACCCCCGCTCTCACCCCCGCTCTCATCCCGCTCTCACTTCCGCTCTCGCCCCCACCGTCGCACCCGTTTTCGTCCCGCTCTTTCCCTCTCCACCACCCTTGCCTCCGTGGTTTCCTCCACAACAACCGTCTACATCTGTCTCGGGGCGGCGAAGGGCTGAAGGCGGTCGACTGGGCGCGTGCGGCGACGGCGCCGCGACGACATGCGGGCAGCGGGCGGCGGCGGCGGCGGCGGCGGAGACGACGTGCCCGCTGAGGGTCGGCAGGTGCGGCAGTCTGGAGCTGCCGCCGCCGCCGCCGCCAGTGCTGCTGTTCTCTGAAGCTCCAGGAGAGCAACTGCGAAGCTACTGTTACAGGAAGGCTAACATACTCGTACACTGAAATTCCCTTCATGTTTGCAATCTTGAATTTTACGTTTCCCTTGGAATTATATATTGTCCTACTAACCAAGAGTTATATCGAAGTTATTTTTATTTTCAAAAGAAATCGCGTATTAACATTCTTTGGTCTTATATGCGAAGGGAGAGAGCTATACATTCAGCGCTATTGAAACAGCTTCATCAGCAAATTGCATGGTAGAGAGAAACACGAACAGATGAAGAAAAAACACAGGCAGATGAATGAAGTTTCAATGAAAGTACTCAAGCGGCCTTTTTTGTAAAATCAAATGCACTTAGGACTGATGCGATAATAAACACAACAGGTTTACTTCTCTTATCTATTATTCTGTAATAGAATTAACAGATCTTGTTAATTCTTTTTTAGTAGAAATTCTCTGGGTTTTCTTTCATTCTATTATTTCTCTTACTGCTAGCTCTTAATGGGGCAAACTAGTATTGGTATCGAGAAAATAATCCGCGCACGTATTTTAAAAAGAAATGGAGAGTACGAGAGTTAGCAGCTCCTTACATTGTAAATTTACACGAGGCCACCAGACTTAACAACGTATTATTCCGTTTGCATGTCTAGTTAACAAAGCGTCTGACTTTTCACTGATTTCTTACAATAATTGTTCTCCTTCCTTCCAATGTTAGACTTTTCAACTTTTATTTTATTGTTGATATTGAAAACATTTCAATTTCATATTTGGAAGACGTTGCTCCCTGTTGTAAGAAAAGATGATGATTGGTCACTAAATGAGACATGCACGGCAACGGAAGATATTGTTTTAATTGCGTTATCTACTTGCAGTAATCACGACCGAAAATATTTTATAAAACAAAAAAAAAGAGAAGAAAATCTATGAATATTTTGTAGTTTTTCTTCAGTGTCCATTATAAATAATTGATAGTCACACATTTAATTTTCATAATGTCATCTTAATTATTGACATTATTAGCGACAATTAATGATGAAGAAAGTAAATTATAAAATACGATTGTGTAAGTAGTGTAAGAGTGCATTCATGCATTATTTGAAGAAGTCAAGTACATCTACTTAATGCAGATAGAAAATTCCTGAAAGGTAGCGTATTAAGGAAATAACGTAATTTTCGTAAGTGAAGTGTGTTGAAAGAATGTCATAAGAGGTATATGAAGAATCATTATTGGAACGTGAATACTGTTCAGATGTAAGCATTTGTAGTTGGCAAATGAAGAAATTACACGGTCTCTTCAAAAGAACGCAAAATTGAGCTTAAGGGAAAAATTCAACTGCAAATGTTTTAAAATATGAAATATCGCTTCCGAGAACCTACGTATTTCTCTAATGAACTCGCAGAACTTCACGCATGAGAGATATTGCGGAACAAAGTTGGAATTTCGAATTTGGCGGACCGGAAAACGCCTTGATAACATCTCCACTGCGCCTTTCGAAGGCAACTCATTTGTGGAAATTGAACAGTGTGATCGCACGGACTTCCGAGCTCCGAAGCCAAACGACAGAGCGATTTAATGAAATTCGTCCCGAACACGTCATGAGCGACGCCGGCCCGCTAACTAGCACGACGCACGGGCGTGACGCCGCTCACGCCGGCTACACACGTCCGTCTTGCGTGCCCTCTGACCGAAACAGTCACGGCCGGCCGCGTGCCCGCGCCGTCCACGCCGGTCGATCTCAATTAAAAGATGACCTCTCTCTCTCCATTCGTTATCTGCCTCTAACGGGAGAGGTAGCTCAGGGCATGAACTGATGTCACTGCAGTGCCTCTGACCGGGAGGTCTTAGGTTCCAGTCCCGACGTTGGCAGGATTTTCGACACTGCCTAGATATTTGAATCGAGTTCTGTCGCTGTCTGGGGGAGAATTGTAACGGTCGGCTGCTCTGATCAGTAGCTTCTCTCATCAACTCCTGGCGAATGTCGTACCCTAGCAAACGGACAAGCGAGCTTTCCTTCTTCTTCGTTGTCCTGTCCTCACCTTCCACATGCGCTACACTACCACACATGCCGAAAGATCGGTCGGGAGCTAAGAGCTTGTCTCGGCCCGAGCGGTGCCCTTCTGGTGAGAGATACCTGTTTGAGGGAAACCTCGTTAGTCGACGGTAGGTCGGCGCCGGATCTCGCCATCCAGCGAGAGAATATTACTGCTCTCTTTCGAGGAAAACACACGCACTACACTTACAGAAGTAATGACTTAAGCAGTTGACGCGCTTGAAATCACCCTTCAATGAATCAGTAAATCTGTCTGCCTCGTCGTCTTCATACGAGCGGCCTGAGTAGGGGTCAAACTCCACACAGCTGGGAAAGGGGGGGGGGTTAAAATTCCAGTCAATGCATTTACAATATGTGGCAGGCCAAGAAGGATTACAGAAGGTTTGCAACTTGTTAGAGCATGGATGCTACCTTTCGTTCCACTGTAGCTCAATCATTCGCCCAACAGCTCGATCCCATCGAGATGTGAGAGAAAGAGAATATGGAAAGGAGAAACGATGAAAAGGAGAGAAGGAGAAAAGGGGAAGAGAAACAATATATTTATGAGGTGTGATCTATTTTTTATGGCACTACAGTTCAATTCCAGCCTGTTCCTCTTTCTTGCAACTGGATACGATAATGAATGCAGACGTTTATGTCTCAAGTGACCGGGTTACACAGCAATGGCTGATTTAGCCTGGTGTCCGAATGTTTTTAATTATATCATTTTAAAGTATATTTAATCAGTGCTGTGATTATTGTAAACTTCTTCTAATTAAAACAGAAATAAATGGAAAGGGAAATTGTTTGATAAAACAATATGATTAATTATTAAATTGATAGTTTTAACCTAAGAGAGTCTTAAAATTTCTCTTTAATTCAATTTTATGTCAATTTTTAGTCTTATATCATTTTGTGAAACATTCTTTTCGTGTGTTGATTTTTTTTATTTTAACTGCTACAAATTTATGAGAAATAATCGATGGATACAATTGACTTTAATAATCTTTCTTTAGATTAATTTGGTATCTTACTGATTTTCTAAAGAAAAATCCAAAATTCACTGTTATTATTTGGGCAGTTTTTTACCGTTCCAATATCTTTAAATAAGTTTCAAGACTCCTTTTTTTTCAAATGAAAACCTTTCGGAGACGTCGAAAGGTCTTTTAACGGTAGATCTTCTTCAATTACGGAAAATAATTCCACGTAAACAGAAGATAAGAAAAATCCACATAAAAATGGAGCCCGTTTCTGACCCGTTTAATCTACATTACGATCTAAAAGAATACGACGATAAGGTAAACAAAATCCACACCACTCATCAATAAATTGCGCAGTGAAGAAATCGCATCTCCAACAGTTGCGTCGTCCACTAGGAAAAGCTCAAACGAATCGAACCCAACCGTTTCCACATTTTCCCCGCAACCCACCTACCTCCCCACCGCCGTTCCCACCCATCAACACAGGAAGAGCTGCTCCGAAGGCCGTTGATTGGACAGGTTTCGGCGAGGCGTTCGCCGCAAGCAAACAACGTAGCCGCCCTTGGGTACACAATCTGCACAACACTCCGCCACTCGCCCCCCTCCCAACACTGTTTTCCCTTCAAACAGAATAAAAAATAACAGCGGCGCTCGCTCGGCCAGCGCTGTCGGACGGACGGACAGCGGCGGAATAAAGCACATCGCGGGAGTTGAAGAGAGGGGAAAGGGGGAAGAGTGGGGGGGGAAAGCTGAACAATGCCCGATCGTAGGGCCACACGCGGCCAGAAGCATTGTTGCGGGGACCCTAACTGAGGAGGGTGAAGAGAACGGCTCAACTCTAGTGTACCGTCAGAGGTATGCAAGCAAACGATATCTTTTTGTGCATCTCATTTTGAAAATGTGATTTGAATTTTGTTCTCTTTAATGGAGATTTAACAATAATCGAGTACGATGTTTACTAAATTCAACTGAAATAATTAAACTGCACTTTTTACGAGTCTAATACTGAATTACTAGATTGCCAAGAAATGGGCCTGGAGCAAGATCCGTCGAATAAACTGATAATATACAAGAAAAGGGGAGAAAAGTTAGTTTCCATTTCGGTTTAGTCTATCTCAGACGACGCCACTGGTTTCGAAAAACGGTCTCTGCAATTCATGTATAGATTTCCCGCGACAAATGCTTTCTCTTAAATTCTTTGAAAGGCCCCCGTACAATCGGTTATTAAGTGGTCATTATAGATGATACTTTCATAATTTTCAAAATGATAAACCGTACATTATGTACGATATTATTTCCTGCGCTTTCTCTGAACATAAATGAATCGTTAATATCTTTTTCCAGATATTGATTGATAGTTTTAAGAAAATATGGTTGCATTAACTGCTTTATAAACATGTTTTGAGAACAAATAAGAGATATCGTCTTGTGCAGTACATGTTTTCTTTCAAGAAATTGGGTACAATAAAATACTTTCACGATGAGTTATCTTGGTATTGCCATTTACTTTACATACATGCCCCTGACGTTTTTATATAATTGATTTATACATTAGTCTCGTGTCGAAACAACAATTATCTTAATCACGTTTTTACATAGGAATGAATCATTATTTGTCAAGAGCACCTCCACATGACCTACAAACGTTTGTTTCATGCGTGCGACTATTACCTTTTATTACGTCAACACACCACCATTCTTCTTGTAAAGTGTGCAGCCCTGATGTTAAGATACGTCAAGAAAACGAGGGTGCGCATCCTACTGACCACAACAAGCAATAACACTGAATTTCATTACTATAGATTTCCCGTCAGCGCCCCGCCGACTCGCGCTCGTACGTACGCGAAGGCGCCGCTGTATTTTTACCAAAAAATCCATCCCCGCCACGGTCACCAC